AATAGCAAAGAGTGGCCTGAAATCCTACAGTACTGCAAAGAAAGAATCCTAGAGGCACAACTCCCTCATCATGTTGTGGCACTCTATCTGCAGAGCCCACTGGCAAGTCGACTGATAACCAGAATGAAGAACATTTTAAAGAAAATGTTGGCTTCCCCGACTGAACCAATAGACTCCATGAGTATGCAGAGAAGAAAACACCTTCCCAGAGAAGACAAGCAGTGAAGGACAAATTAGAGAGAGAGTATGTTGCGTCATCATCATGCGAGAGCGAGTTTGATGAAAAAGATGACTGCATTGCCGGTACGAACAAGGTATCTAAAAAGAGGAAGGTTGACAATGCAGCAGAAACCCAAGCTGCACATAAGAAAATGTGCGAAAAGGCTTTGGAAACGATGAGTAAAGTAGATGCCGTTTTCAGCAAGGTGGACAAATATCTAGATAAGAATAACTAAGCTATTAAAAAAAGGAATCAAATCTTCAGTCTCGACTGTTATAGCGAACTGGTATATCATCACTTATACTCAAAGATTTGTACTTTACGAACGCTGCTGTTGAATAAAACTTCTATAAAAATCTTGTAACAATTTTAGTGAGTTTTTAGAGAAGTAAACTCGTTGGTGCTGGCCTATCTCCGGCTTCTCAGAAGTTACATATATGAAACTTCTGAAAAGCCGGAGATAGGCCAGCACCAGCAACAGCAAATTTACTTCTCTTAAAACCAAAATATAGCGTTAATAGTTTTGTAAGCACGTTTTAGAATGGCAAGCGTTTTAACGCTGAGTTCGTTTACATTCCTGGAAATTAAGACAATTTCACAGAAAGTGCAATAAGACTAGCATTTTAAGGTTAAAACTTCTTCACGCAGATTATTTCGGTATAATTTAGCTGGCAGTACGGTACGTAGATCATTAGCGTATTAGCAAACTCATTAGAATTCTTAACCCCGGTTGTTGGAAAACGTTCTATTAACTCGTTTCTACGTTCCGCATATCCACGAGTTAAAAAGTAAAAGCATGCATCAGTATACGGATCTTTTGGGTGTTATTTGTAGTCGACGTTTTTTTATTATACTTTTAGAGTGGCTTTCATTAACCCGTGAAACAAAAGTCACTTATTACATAGTATTATAAAATAATTGGGATACTACGCGCGCTATGATTGGTCGAAAACCATGTTTGATGAGAGTATCAAAACACGCTATCGTCATTTTTAATCTATCGCGCGCGCTCATTGGTCAGTTTGAATAAGACGGCA